TCACATAGGCAGTAAAAAACAAACAAACAAAACCTGAATTTTGACTCTTGGTTTTTCTGAATTTCAAAGTTAAAACAGCACTGTGTACTTGATTTTAACAGCCGGGACATGAACCGGCATCCATATAAGAGATGCCAGTGTCTCAGACAGCAGCTTTACCCACTATACCACCACATCAGCCCTTATGCCAGAATATTTTCATATGCTCACTTTTTAAATTCTTGCTACTGGAGTATGTATTTAGCAGAACAGTTAAGGCACCCACATCCCGTGTCGGAGTGCATGGGTTCCATTCCCAGTCCCAGATCCCATCTCTAACTACTTGCTAATGCATGCCCTGGCAAGCAGCAGCAATGACTCAAGTAACTGGGTACCTGTCACTCACATGGGAAACTCAGATTGAGTTCCCATATCCTGAATTTGTCCCCAGTTCAGCCTCAGCCATGGTAGGCATTAGGGGAGGTAATGAGTGCATGGGAGCTTTAACTGTCTCCTATCTGTCTCTCTCTCCCTCCATCTGTGTCCATCTCTCAAATGCATTTTACACAATAGTTCTTTAAAATAAATTCTCACCACTATTATCCATATCTTAAAGGTCACCAACTTTCCAAGATCACCAGAGTAGTGACAGAGCCAGGACTGAAAGCTGCCCAACTTCCATGTCCCAAAGCTCATGACCCCACCCATTGTGCATACGGGCCTTCTTGCTTCCACTGCCACCACCCCATTACATTCCTCTGTGCTCCACCTCTTTTCCTCACCTGACACTCAGGGCTCCTTCAGGGAGATCACAGCTGAGACAGGGAAATGAAGGAAGGAGATTGAGCCAGCCTTGCCTGCCTGCACTGGAACATACACCAAGCCAGGACCAAAGCTGGAGTGTCCTAGAGTCCTCATTGCAAGAGGAGATGGGAAGTGGAGAGGGAGGGGGTATGTGTCTCCTTCACATGGTTGTTGTGAGACCCTAAGGAGACCAAATGCAACAGTGACGTGAAAGCACCAACAGTGCTTGGCAAATGGCCCAGGCTTGCTTTAAAGATGATTTCATTATACAACAGAATATGAGCTGTTATTGTAGCTACTTGCAACAACTGTGCCCCTCCCACTTAGTCTCCCTCCTTTTTTTTTTTTTTTTTTAAACTACCAGAGTTTGGGATGCCAGCTAGAGATTGGCAGTGACACATAAACCAAGGTCTGTTGGGGATAGCTGGTGAAGTACGGTTGTTCTGATATAAATATGTGCATTTTTCTCCTGGTTGTTTTCTTCTTTTTGAGATGTGGCCAAAGAACTGGAAGTAGAGCAGCCATCCGACACCACAGGTGACAGCGGGAATCAAAGTTCATCACCAAAGCTGGCGGAGCAGAAAGATGGGCACCTGAGGCACTGGAGGGAGCCTGCTGCACACCCCCTGCTTCCCAACTGCTGATCAAGGGAGAAAAAAGCACCCCCCTTGGTTAAACTACAGCACTAGGGTCTCTGATCCTTGTGGACTTAAGCAATCCTAACCCAAAGACCTGATCAGCAAACAGGATGTATCCTCAGCAAAGAACATGACTTCTAGAAGGTAACAGACACTTAGCAGCCGTGAGGAATGAATCACTGAGTAAATAAGTGGATTAGTAACAGAAGACAAAAGCCGGAGAGGAAGTTGCCCCAGGAAATCGAATATTTCTTTTATAGAGTGAGCTGCTACTGACTTGCTCAGCTCCTGCTTTGCGCCCCACATTCTCTCAATCATCAACACCGTGTTCAGAGCTCAGCATGGTCATTCCCATACCACAGGCCAGGGGCTGCGCCTCAAGGAAGCTGAGCTAGGATTGGAATCCAGATCTGGGTGAGGTTAGTGTCTGGGTTTTTCCTTTTAGGCCAAGCTGCTGTACGAGGAACTGTTTGCTCGGCGCTCGGGTCACGGCTACTGGATGGGTGGAGAAATTTGGATGGAAATCCTGCCCCGCTACACCTGCGTGGGCAATTCTTTCCCACGTGTTTCCTTGTGTGTCAAAATCACAACAGCACCTTCCTCACCTGCCTGGTTTGTGACCTGTACACATAAAGCACTTTGCACAGTGCTAGAGGAGGCTCAGAAAACATTGCCCACTTGCCTTAGTAGCATCGTTCTCTCCCAGCTCCCTGCAAGAATCCATGGGCAGCTTGGGGGCCGGCTAGAACAGAAGGCCCAGAGGAGGTGTTGCGGTGAACCAGAGCCCCCCAGCTGGGGGTGCCTCTATGGTTTGTAACTTTAGATACCTGATCCTGACTTTTCACTGCCTCTCCTTTAGAGACCAGATCCCCAGGTGCCTCGGAAATGCCCAGGAGGTTTCTCTGCCTCACTCAAAGTTCTTGGAGTTTGCTGAATTCGTTGTCAGTCCAAGTGAAGGGAAAGGCCTTTGAAGACTGTAGTCTCACCACCCCTTAATCCCACGCAGGTGTCAGACAATGCCCGGTGGGCAGGGAACCCTGCGCTCCTGTCTGGCTCCCTGCCAGTCCCACCCTAGTGAGGGGAGCAGCCCAGGAATTGGTCCAATCTGAGGCGAGATGCGGGGGCGAATTGTAGTCTGAGATGCTAATCTACCCACCCGAAGGTTTCCCATGTGTCCCGGCACACTTGCAGGTGTATGGATATAAAAAGTCAGTTCCAGATCCAAGCAGGTGCGGTGGGAACCCGGGTGTTGAAGATAGGCAGGGCCAGACGCTTACCTGGCACACGGGACTTTAGAAGGCTGGGTCACTGGCATCCCAGCTCTGTGTGAACCCCAGACCTCTGGCTTCCTAATTCTGTGATCTGAAGGGTGTTACTCAACCTCTCTTAGATGCTACTTTTTTTTTCAGTGGCAAAGTGGGAACAATAATAGTCCCTGCAGTTGCAAGTATTAAGGGAGCTAATAAAGCTTTCGGCACTGTAATGGGAAGGCTGTCCGTGCTCAGACGGTACTGCTGTGATAAGCACATGACCGTCTGGGATGTGTGTGATGAAAGCTACAAGACTCTGAACCATCCACTGTAAATCCCTGCGTGCTCTGGGAGGGGTGTGGACCATGACTGCACTTCACGTCATTTTATTGCCGCTTGTCTACAGCCCCTAATGGTGTTATGACGAGCAGGCGTCGCACTGTTCTGTGATAAGAATACATCTGTGTCTAGTTCTTAAAAGGCAGGCTTTCTCTGCCTGCTGTCTACTCAGCACTGCATTTGCTGTTTTGAATACACGGAACTATGCTGCCCAGTTCCTTTTTCAATCATAGATCAACAAAGTTATTTCATTTCACAAAATGTAAAGAGTCCAAGCTGAGTCCTAGAGCTCAATGCTAAGGTGGGTGGTGGTGTCCAGAGCCCCTGAGATAATTCCAAGAACGCAGGGATCCAGGAGGGATGGAATGGTGAACTTGGCCCTGGCAGCTCCCCCCAACCCTAAAATTTGAGACTGACAGGTAACGCTTACATTGCATTTATGGTGTATCAGATGCTAGGCCAAGCTCTGCACGTATGCTTTTACATTAATACACACAGCAACACGCTGGAATACATTCTGTTATTATTCCCATCGTAAGGATGAACTGATTGGGTACAAGAAATGACATAATTTAGCCTATGCCACACAGCAATTTAGGAGCAGAGCTGGATCTTAAACTCGGCCAATCTCATTCCAAATCTTCTCTCAGCTACTACGCTACACTTCATTGCAGAAGGAAGGAAACCCAACAGTACGGGTCAGGTGTGAGTGGCAGTAAATGCTGGGACGAACAGCTACAGGCCTCGGCAGCCACACGAGCAGCTTTACCACTGTCACAGAAAGCTCAGCACAGGAGGCAGCAGCCCCTGTCTGCGCCACGACACAGGGCCCAGGCACTTTCCACCTGACGGCTCCATGATTCCCTGGAGTCACCGAGTCCTCCTGTGGGTCTCGCGTGGAGGATCACACGGGGATCTACACAGCCAGACCTGGAAGTGGAATATGTCATTTCCACTCGCTTCATGGTCTAGTCACATGGTCATTTCTAGCTGCAAGGGAGGCTGGGAAATGAAGTCCAGCAGGGTGTCCAGGAAGAGCGTGGGTATCCATGATTTCAGCCTCTGCCACACAAGGTTAGACACAAAGCTTTCATCCAAGTACACCAAAGGGATTACGATACTTCGCTCCAAAAGCTGAACCCAAGTGGCCAACTTCCAGAGAGACACAACCGCTCAGTCAGATTCCAGAAGAGGTAAGTGGGTGCCTGAAGGGCCCGTTGTACAGGGGGGATACAGTTGTCCAAAGCACAAAACTCCAGGCTACGACTAAGTACAAAAAAGCACCTAATAGAGGCTCTTCCTAGGTGCGCCACCCCCTCCTCCCTTAAAACAAAACTGACTGCTCCCAGCAAGACCTCGGCCAGGAGTCAGGGAGCAGAGGGTTCCAGGCTGGAGCTTGGAGGGACCTGTCAAGATATTGTGACTACAGAAAAGTCCACAACACAGCTGGATTCAGCCCAGAGAGGACAGGGATGAAGAGGGGAGGTGAGAGGCAGCTGCACCTGCTCACCACCTGGCACATGGCTGACTCCAAGCAAAGCAGCCTTGGTGAAGGGTAAGAGGGTTAGACCACAGGCACCTTGAACTTAGAATACCCAAAGCCATCACATATTCCACATCTCGGCAAACTGCACCACTATCCAGCAAGCCACTCGAGTCAGAAATGAGAGTGCCACTGCTCATTCTGCATGGGATCACCAAGCCCGGGGGCTCCCAGGTCTCTCTCAGATACATCCCCTCTGTTCTCCGCTTCCCGTCCCCCTCCAATCCCTGCCTTAGCGCAGGTGCCCCTACTCCGTCACCTGGGCCAACACGCCTGCAACTTAACTCCAATTCTCCCTCCCTTCAATATCCGTTTAGCCCTCCATCAACTGCTTAATGAGCTTTATGGTAGACACGAGGATATTTGCTTTCCTTTCTCATCTCGTTCCTCACCAACTTGGATCCAAATTTGTTCAGGAAACTACCATGCACTGTCAGAAAAGCTTACCTTCTCAGCCTCCTTTGCAACTGGAGCAATCATGTCTCTGGGGATGATAGCTTTCCTTGAATGAATAAAATAAAAAGACTTCCAAGAAAATAGCTTTTTTCCACTTAGCTCTTTCCCTCCTGCCTAGAGTGTGGACAGGATGCCCAGAGACACAGCACCCACTTGGCCTCATGAGCAAGAGTGCCATGTGCTAGGGTTGGTGCCACAGGAATCTAGAAGAGCTGGTTTGTGATGACTTATTCCAGCAGCTGCACCTGCCTTGGGCTGCCTACTTGTGGATATTTTGTTAGGGAGATGTATTCTTCTATTTCTGCTGTTAACAAGTTGCCACAAACTTAGGGCTTAAAGCAACACATGTTTATTTTCTCAGGGGGTCATAAACCGAGAAGAAGTCTCCTAGGGCTAAGTCAAGGTGTTGGCAGAGCTTATGCCATCTGTTGGCTCTGAGAGCAGACTGCTTCCTTGACTTTCAACTTCCCACGGCCACCTGTGTTCCTCAGCCGTGGCTTCCTCCATCCTCCCAGTGCGTCTTGCTGGTCTCTGAGCCATCATCACCCATCCTCCTCTGATTCCTGCTGTGTCCGTTTATTAAGGACTGTTGTGAGGACATTAGGTCACATCAGCATAGACCAAGGATGCCAGGAGAACCCCTCCTCTCCAGGTCTTTAACTCACTGACATGCACAGTCCCTTCTACCATGTAAGTTCTGTAATTCCCAGGTTAGCAGGCTCAGGCTCAGGCAAGCTCCAGCGATTGTTACTCAGCCTTCCACAGTAGGAAAACCACACCCTTGACTTGCATAAACTACGATTTTATGACTGTTACTCAAGGCTGAAGGCAATCAAAGCTGACTCTACCGTCGGCCCTGGCCCAGGCACTGTGCTTGCTGCTGCTGATTCCCCAGAAAGCTTGAGCCAGGATCCCTCGCAAGAGTCTGCCGTGCTGTGACTACCATTATTTATTTATTTGACTGCCTTGGGACATAGTGAACTGCAGAGGACAAGAAATATGTAAGTTACTGTCTTCTATCATTCTGGCACCAACTCATGGCCTGAGACATTGTAGAGCAAATGGATACAGTCACGAGACAGCCACCGAGTCCTAACTACAGAAGCCTGCGTTGATTCTAAGCGTCATTCCGTAGAAGTCCTAGGAGTACATCATACACCTGCTGCTTAACATTTCAAAATTCAGAGATGCTTTAGAAGTAAGAAGTCTGTCTGACATTAACCCAGCATGCCCCAAACTTATTTGACCACAATACATTTTTCATGGAGCACATATGAATCTTCTATGGAAGCAGAGTTCCTTGGAACACCCTTTGCAAAACACTGCTCATCTTTCTCGGGACTGGTTTGGGAATTCGGGATGTTCCAAGCTCTGCAGGTGGACTCAGCAGTTGATCAAACCAACAGTGCACAAGGCTGCCAAATGCAGGAGCTGCCATTGTCAGAGGGGACTTTGGGTGGAGCTGGACTTCCAGGGCCAGGTGCGTTTGTCCTGGCAGCAGAGAAGGTGGCAACGTTCTCCACTTCCCTCCAAGGCTGTCTGGTTTGTTCCAGTTGGCCCAGGTAACAGGGTCAATGAACTCAGATGAACAGCATGAAACAGGACCACCCAAGTGCATTTTGCTGGAATGCCCTTGGCTGGGCAAACACACTTGTGCTCTGATTCCAAGCCAGAAGACCACTTTGCAGCACCTCCAGCCAGAGTCTGGGGACCTGACCCCCTCCACAACAGGCTGCCTAGACAGGGGCTTCCTTTGCTGACACAAAAATCCACGTGGAGTCGGGGTTTGGTTAAAGCACCATTGGGACGCCTGTGTTCCTTACAGAGTGCCTGGGTTGGAATCCCAGCTCTGCTCCCAATTCTGTCTTCCTGCTATTGCACACCCTTGGAGGCCACAATAATGGTTCACGTGGTTGGGTCCCTGCCACCCATACGGGAAAGCTGGATGGAGCTCCTGCCTGCTGGCTTCGGCACCGGAGCAGTCCTAGCAATTGAAGGCATTTGAGCAATGAATCGGAGTGTGGAGCCCTCTGAATGCCTGAGTGAATGTCTGTCTGTCTCTCATCTCTCTACTTCTCCAATACATGGAAACAAAATAACCTATGTGACCCTCTAACCCCTCTGCATTTGGATCCAAATATCTTAAGACAGTTACTACTTGTTGCTGACATCCACCAGCTAACACTGGACCACACCCAGGGAAGCCCCCACCTCTCCCATCCCCATCCCAACCCTCTTCTGGTCTCCTGTCCCAGGGTTCTGTATTCAGAATAGGACATTTGTCTATGAGATGAAGAAGCTGAACACACCACTGGAGATCTCCGGTTTTCAAATTAAGATCTGCAGAACCCCGGGGTTCCTCGGGGACACCCTGGGGCCAGCTCACAGGCAGCTCATGGGGATACCCCTTGTACCTTTTTCATATTGGACTCCATGAATGTAGGTACAGAAAGATTTCCTTTATAGTCCATAGAGACATAATTTTAAACATTTTGAACCTCATTCTCTTGATCAGGATCTTTATATTACAGATCGGAAAACTGAAGACAAGAAAGTACTAGAGGTCGAAGAGTAAATTAAGGGCACAGTTCTTGGAAGAGACTCCAGGTCTCTTGATTTACTAATAGAGTTTGTTTCCATCACACCCAGTATTTCTAAGCATGGGTAGCACCCGATCAGAATAGAGCCACTGAGGCAAAGTCTCTAAAAGGCTTACTTCTGGCTGGCGCCACAGCTCACTAGGCTAATCCTCCACCTGCGGTGCCGGCACACTGGGTTCTAGTCCCGGTCGGGGTGCCGGATTCTGTCCCAGTTTGCCCCTCTTCCAGGCCAGCTCTCTGCTGTGACCCAGGAGTGCAGAGGAGGATGGCCCAAGTCCTTGGACCCTGCACCCCATGGGAGACCAGGAGGAAGCACCTGGCTCCTGGCTTCGGATCAGCGCAGCGTGCCGGCTGCAGCTGCCATTGGGGGGTGAACCAATGGAAGAGGAAGACCTTTCTCTCTGTCTCTCACTGTCCACTCTGTCAAAAATAAATAAATAAAAGGCTTACTTCTTTTTCCCAAAATTCTCCCAAATTACTACACTGATGAGCAGGAATCTGCTTTTATATGAGATGTAAAAAGTGGTAGAAAGTGGACTTTTAAAAATAAACTTAGGTTCCGATAAGGAACATACATTTTAAAAGAACCCCCTAGGACTCTGTTGGGCAAGTTAACTTCTCTATCTTTCCTCTGTTCTGAAGGTTCCACTGGCCATAAAACAGATTTTCATATAGGGCTCTTTTCCGGACCCCCAACCCTCCCCAACCCCACTACTCACTCTCCTTGCCAGTTTCACGGTCATCTTTTAGCAACATCATTCAAGTTCAGGAGAGAAAAATATTCTAAATCTTGAGAAGGCATTGAACAGCTCTGTACATAAATATCCCAAAGTAATTATGTACAAACCACCCCAAACAGAGTAGGACCAGGCCAATCTACTCCTGACTCAAGTCTGCTCCCCTGTGTACCACCCCCAGCTCAAGAAAAATCAACAAAAAGAGCTTGACTTTTTGAAAGACATATTAGAAGTTGAAAACCCAGAAATATTCAATTTGCCAGCTGGAGGGCTTGTGTAGCAAAAGGCTGTGTGAAGTTTCAGTAGGATATGGGGACCCATTCATTGGGCTCAACAGATCATGTGTGCACCCCTGCTTCTCCCTTCTCCCCACCCTGATGACTTACTGGGGGCACACATTACCTACCTACCTTCAGGGAAGTATGCTCCCTGCGAAACTAGAATTCCAGTGACAACCAAAGATAAAGATCTGAAGCTCCCAAAGGTGCAGTAACTTGCCCAAGTTTGCACTAAACAAGGTGGTAAATTCAGATCCAGGTTTCAGACTCCAGCACTCGTGTTTTCTCCAGGGGGGGCCGTGGCCTCCAAAACCACGTACCAGCAACATCACTATCAAACATGTATTGAGGGCCTGCTATAGGCTGGGCAGTGTGCAAAGCAGCTACCTTTGAAGAAGGACTGAAATAAACACACTTCAGCAAGGACCAGGAGTGGCTCCTGGATTTCTAATCATTCCTTGTCCTCCAGTTGAGACAGGGAAAAAAATGTCCATCTCTGGAACTTCCAACTGAACAGCAAAAGATCCAGGAGCCCAGCTGAGTGGTCATCTTTGCAGTCTGACCACTTGCATTTGGGAGAGAGACATAGTCCCTTTAACTCTTCAGATCCCTCTCAGCAATGTCCCCCCTGGTGACCCTGCCTGGTCACAGGCATTTAAAAGGTAACATCACATTTATAACCACTGTCTGAATATTGGACATGGTATGTACCCTAGATATTACCACTTACCTATGGCAATCAGACACGCCACATATCTTGGGAAAGTTCCAGATTCTGCCTCTATCCTATTATCCATATAAATGTCTTGCCAAACCATGCAGTCACCATACAAAACCTCCCAAAGGTGTCCAAATAGTTACCATGAACCTCATGCCACTAAAACTCAAGAGTTTCAATAAAAGCTTGAACTTGCCCCTGGTATTGCTTTAATTTATGAATATTGGGGCGGGGGAGTTAGTCTTCAAATTGCAATTCAGGATCTCAAAGGCAAGTATGAACTCTCTCCACCAAACTAACAGGTTGGTTTTGGGAATCAAAGATCTGAAAGATTGAAGTATCATCCATATTTTGTAGGTAAGTACCTATTTAATCCCTACTCTATTGCCTGAGGAGTCTGAACCTATGCATGTATTCCAAAAGAATTTGGTCTCCCAGGTGGCAATAAATATCATAAGTTTCCAAACAGGGCATGTCAAGGCATTGGACATATCACTCCACAGATCCAAGTGTAAGACAAACTGTGGTTTTCTACCGGATCTCAATGGTGGGGAAGCTGAGAACACCCAAAGTTTTCTGCACTAAAAATATTCCACCACTACCATGCATATTTTGCTTTCTCAGTCCCAATAAACACCACCTACGATTAAAGTCCGGGTCCCTTCTCCAGGAGAGGAGTGCAGCCACAGTGTATCCATTAGTGATGAAGATTCACTGGGCTTCAGGACCCAGGAGAGTCAGCCAGAGGGGAAAGGGCTGATACAGAAGCTGTCAATTAAGAAAGAAAGAAAAAGAAACACGAGTTAACTAGGGATCAGAAGAGGAGAAGCACCTGTGCCTGCGGTGTTTCAGCAGCTCTGATCCTATGAGGGAAATTTCTAGAACTCCATTCCCCCTACACAGTCCTTAAACCTCTTTGGCATGATCAGATGTCAGGTGCACTTGCTGACGAATCTTCTGTTATTCTTTAGTTTTAGCTCCATCGACAGTAGCTGCTGTCCCAGCCTCTGCTGGCCCCCAAGCTCCGTCTAGATACCTCATCACTTTCACTGCTAGCCTTGATCTCCTAGCAATGCCTGGAATAACTTCTTCCACTCTACTCTCAGCACTCATTTCCTGGGGGCCCAATCAAATGCTCAGAGAGCAAGTGAGACACAGACACACTGAGCATCACCCACTCTCTTATGCATGTTCCATGCCCCCTTAAAACAAACCTCTGCACACCTAGTCTTTAAAATGAATTCTAACCAGGAGGTTTTCCTGGTTCCCCATATAACCCACCCCACTGTCCTCCCTCACTCATCTGAATTATGTTGACATTATCTCATTTAGTCACCATTGCAATGACTCATGATAGATTCCATGTAACCTTCCCATATATCCTTGGTGTTTCTCCGAGATACACCAGCCTGGAGGGGCAAGTGTGAAAAGTTAATAGGATTAGATTGCCCCTTCCTGATTCTACCTCTGCCCTGTTGCAAGGTCTCAGGTCATCCTGTGAGTTCCCTCTTCCAAAGGCACCACCTTTCCTGCTCACAAAGCAGTTTCACCCTCCTCCAGTTGTCAGACTCCTCTGCCTTTAAACCAAACCTAGAGGGCCAGCTTTATGGGACAGAACAACGTGTGGGAGGATACCGACTTATCACTTCCACCTCCAGTGCTCTCTGACCCCGGCTTTTGCAAGTCTCCAACTTGTGCCCACAATGGCTCTCAAAGTTG